TTGAACAACAAGCTAACCGGGCGTGTATATTATCTCCGCAATATGAAGATGGACAGCCAAAGCAATTTATTCGGCAGTTGACTTTTTTTTTCGTAATGAATAATATTACTTCCGATCGACACATAGCGTACTTGCTTGCTACTCTGCCGTTGAAGATGTACAAGACCATGGAGGAATTAACAGCACCTGAACTGCCTGAGGACGTTTCGTACGAAGAGTTGGTGACGAAACTGGAAACGTTGGAAATTAGAAAATCATTGTTAATCTCACGGTATGAATTTGACAAAACTTATTGAGGCAATGAAGAATCGATACAAACGTTTGCGCATAGAGTGATCCGAGCAGATTAAGAATGCAAGTTCATGCCTTCAAAGAGAGACGGCCGACTTCGTGATCAATTCATCATTGGTATCAATGATTGTGCTGTTCTGCGTGCCATTTTTCGGGGAGAAGATGCGTTGAGCTTTGACGATTGTGTCAAGACGGCATCCGTGATTGTAAAAACTAGATTAGATGCGTCATGTTTATCTGTAAACAAACAAGTAAATGCAAGTTACCTAACAATTGGAACTCTAATGTCAAATGATATACGAAGAAAGAAATGCAAAGAAACTGCCAATCATTTAATCACTTTGCACATATATGTACCTCTTTATGTAAGAAATGCTCGCATAAACATGCTACGAAAGACTGCTACAAACGTCAACAAAACCAGGAAAACTTAAATGGGACGAGTTTGCATTAGGTATTTCTACAAGAACTCGTCCCGAAACAATACTACTTACTATTGACTTGGTAATAAATGGAAGAAACGCTACAGCACTTGTGGATACTGGTTGCTCGCAATCAATTATCACCAAAAAGTTACTACCATCTGACTATAAGATGATTCGTGTAGTGACTTGGTAGTTTATTTTGGAGAAAGTCAAACACAAAAAGACAATTGTAAAACTTTACAAGATTATGGAGTTTTAGGATTTTTAGTTCAGAAATTTTTTTTTCGATATCAGATCTCATTGGGGAAAACGTCATTATTCTAATAGATGCGCGTTGTAAACTAGCAATGTAAAAAGTTTCTTTTTTGACCCCAAATAATACAACAATAGCAAAGGTGAGAAGAGAATAAAGAAAAATAAATCATTTGAAGAGTTTGGATAGGAACGAATTAGAGAAAGCATACTGTTAGCTCGTGTAAGTTTTTTAGATGATACAGTTGATTATACCAAGATAGGTTTTCATCAAGATATATTTCAAGATACTTTATATATTTTGATGGAAAAAGTTTTTTTCCGTTAGTTTTAATTTTAATATGATCAATAGTTTTTTGAGGGGAATGAAAAATAATGTATTCAGTTATATTGACATTCAAGGAAATACGGTTACTATTTAACCAGTTACATAAGCGATGAAGATCTTGATTAAGTTTTTTACAAAGAGTCGTGAGGGATTTGTTGATATATAAAAGGTTGGTATCGTCAGCATAATGATGTATCAGAATTTTTTAACGAACAAGATAAATCATTTATATAAATAAAAACAACAACGGTCCAAAAACGGAACCTTGTGGAACGCCATATTTAATAACTTTATGTGTGGATTCAAATCTATTAATTGAAACAAACTGAGTGCGATCCGTAATATATAAAGAAAACCAATGATTAGCAATACCACGTATTCCGTAGTAGTTTAACTTTTTTTAGTAGAATGTTGTGATCAACCGTATCAAAAGCTTTTTGAAAATCCATGAATACACCACAAGCAAAAGAACCACTGTCAATTGCACCACGAATCATTTCAGTAATGCTAAAAAGAGCGTGAGAAGTGGAGTGATTTGAGCGAAACCCAAGTTGTCTAATATGAAAACGAGCAGAATTTTTCAAAAAGTTGTAAATACGAGAATACATTAGTTTTTCTAAAAGTTTGCTGACATTTGATAATAATGAAATTGGTCTGTAGTTATTACATTCAAGTTGTGAGTCTTTTTTATGAATTGGGATAACAGAAGCAGTTTTTAAAATATCAGGGAATACACCGGTTGTGAATGACAGATTAAATAGTTCAGAAAGTACAGGAGAGATATCATTTGCAAAAGGTTTAAAAATAGATATTGGAATGCTGTTAGGTCCCGAAGCCTTGCTGTCATTAAGAGAATAAATAGTTGATAATACTTCGTTTTTGTCTGTAGGTTTTATGAACATTGAATTAAGATTAGGATTTTTAAGATATTTATTAAAGTCAGTATTGGATGAGTGGATCTTATTCTGTAAATCTTCCGAAACTGAAACAAAGAATGAATTAAAAGATTCCGAAATTTTAATGGGGTCGTGTATCATGGAGTTGGTAGAAGATAAGCATGAAGGAGTTGAGTTAACTCTCGAACTAATGTTTAAAAGGTTCTTAATACCATCCCATGTAGATTTCAAATTTTTGGTATTGTCAGAGAAGAACTTAGAGTAATGGTTCTTTTTACTACGACGGGTGAGAGTAACAAGTAAGTTTCTATATGTTTTATAAGATTTTTCTAGATTGAGTTTGTTATTAGGATTTTTTGCTTTAAGAAATTTGTTAAATATTTTATTTCGCATTTTAATAGAAGTCAAGATTCCTCGTGTTATCCATGGTTTGAGGCCCCTTAATAAGCAGCGATTGCTGACTTTTTTTAATGGTGCATGTTTATCTAAAAGAGAATTGAAACTTGAGAAAAACTCTTCAAATGACTTATTAGTCTTACCTTCGTTGATTACATTAGTCCAGCTAATTTTTGAGAAATCACTACATAATTCGACGCAATTTATATGTTTTAAATTTCGACGAAAAATGCGGTTTTTACGAGTATTAATTTTGGTTCTATAAAATGGATGTATTAAAAATTGGGGCAAATGATCTGATACCGTAGAAGTAAAATTACCTGAAAAAATATTTATAGAAGTTGCATTAGAAAATATGTTATCAATTAGAGTTTTGGAATAATTTGTGATTCTTGTTGGCAATGAAATAAAGAGAAGAAAGTTATTTAAAGCAATAGTGTCTAAAAATTCAGAGACAGAATTATCTGAGTTTGCTAATAAAAGATCGACATTAGTAGTTTTGTTTTTTTCCATAGATAGCTTTTCAAAAAGTGGTATTAAATATGATTTAATAAATTCTGAAATATCCATACTAGGATGGCAATAAATACAGCCAATAATGATGTTTGATTTTTTAGGAATTATGATTTCCACAAACACAGATTTTAAAAGCTTTGGTTTAAGCATATTAAGATCATATCGAAGTTTGTAAATTAATGTATTCGATATATAAAGTAAAGCTCCTCCAAAATAAGATTATGTCGGAGTGTGCTCATAAACATAACCGGTAAGATTTAATGGGGTAGTTGGTATAATGTCATTTTTTAGTTTAGTTTCAGTTATGCCAATAATACTGAATTTATGATTAATAAGAGATAAAAGTGAGTTTAATTTGTCAAAATTTTTAACAAGAGAAGCAATATTTAAATGAATAAGAGAAAAACTATTTTTGTCGATGTCGTTGTGAATACCATTAAGCGATGAAAGTGCAACAATGGTTATTCAATCGTTAGAAACAATATGATCATTACTTGGACCTCCTTCCGAAATTATCTTAGATAATTTTAAGTCGTTTAGATCTAAGACTATGCAAGCTATGGCGTTGAAGTGGGAAATAAGAATTATTTATAGATCTGTTGAAAAACCATCGGGAAATAGAATTGTTGAAAGAGTTCATCGGAAAGTAAAAAGAACAAATGCAAGAGCGAAATGTGGAATACCCATGTCTGTCTTCTTAAATAATAACGTACCATCAAAACATGGCGCATCTTTTGAAATCTTTTGCCAACAATACAAACGCGTCCAAATTCCTGGAATCAACAAAGTCGAATTAACACAAAAGTCTTTGAATAAGTGTCAAAGATGGAAAGTTGGCGATAAAGTGTGGGTGAAGCCCAAGCATATGACGCTGTGTACACAGCAATGGTTAAAAGGAAGTATAGTAGCACTGCATAATGGTTTAACAGCTGAAGTTGAAGTCAACGGACATACGTAGCGACGACATTTTTCACAACTGCAGCTGATGACGATTACATTCCGACAATGGTTAAACCTCCCAAACACGTCTCAATCGAAGATCCAAGTTCCCAGATAAATTCCCTGGACGACGACAAAGATGACAATAGTATGCACCGCGCTAATCAAAACTATCCAATAAATTGTGAGACAGAGTTACAGCCTGTTCGGTTCACTTGCTATGAGAGAAGAGTACCTCCTAACCGGAAGTATCACGAATATGTATGAGCTCTTGTTGAGCTGAGGGAGATGTTGTGAATATATGTGCGTCAATAATTTGTCAATAATTAGCTTTGCTAACTATTGACAAAGGTCACATGTTGCATATTTTTATTATTATAACGTTTTGTATAACGACCACTAATTGTTGACAAGATTCACTTGTTGAACTTTTAAATACTATATATAGTGAACAAATTTGTTGTCAAAACGTTGAGATTGTTGATAAGTAATAAAAACATTAAAAACAAAATGGCTTCTAAATGCGTTTAGAAGCCAACAACACTGGGTTTTAAGCTTTGTTTTAAATATTACTCTTCTCGCGTGACTCGCTCTTTACGGACTCACTAAAGAGAGGTGCCTGAAAAAAACGTCTGCCTTAAGTATAGTTTATTTTTATTTAATGTGTCTCATTAAATAAAAAAAGTAAAATAGGACTTTACTGGAAATCGAACTCGGGACTTCGCTGTAACTGCCCATAACATTATCCACTCGGCCAAGCAAACTCTCCGATATTGTATGATTTAATTTTATTTAAATTTATATTTGTATATATTTAGTGATGTTTTTTAAATTGGGATCCTTTGCCGCTAACAAAGTGCTTTGGGGTCGTATAGGGTATCTCCTCCACCTTATTTTTTCCAAGGAAGGTAGATGTGTATAAAAAACGTACGTACTTTTTAAGGGGTTCGGGACTTAAAAGTACTCATGGCAACGGAGGGGGGGGGTCAAATTTCAAAATATTTGGCGTATGTACTTTATGGACGACCCCTTACCCTAGATGTCACTAAATACTGAAAAAATGGAGAACACTTAACAACCGTCGAGCGGAAGCCAACAAACCAAGTGAGAAAATATTCCTATTAAAAAATTCGTAATTTATGTAGGCGTTTAAAAAAATTATGTCTAGTCATCAATTCATATAGATTTACTTTTGCAATGCATTTATAGAATTATTGCATTTTTTTAAAATCAGGCAAACTTAAAATCCAAAACAAAAAAAAGTTAACTTCAGTAAAGTAAAACCAGTATAAAAATAAACTTTTTTAATAAGTTTTATTTTGATTTAAGTTCAATTAATAAAACTTGAAAATTAAATTGTTTTTTTTTTACAAGAATGTTAAAATGCTTAACTATTGTTTTTAGATTATAGTCTAAAAGTAACCATGAAAACTTTATATGAGTTAGCTTTCAATGCGACCTTAAAAAACATGGAGCTCGTAGTTTGGAAATGTAACTTACTTCCAAAAAAAATTTTGTTTGCATTAGTCTGTGCTTGTCTAGAAGATAGTCCAAAAGTGCTAGCTTTTGTAAATTTGTTCAAACACTGGCCACTGACAGAGTTCTCAGTTCGTAAAATTGGTGTCAGGCTGAAAGATGAAGATGTTATATTACTTGCATCACTTATACAAAAAAAACAATATGGATGTATAAAGCTGTTGAATTTATTAGATATTAAATTTGGGGTATTGTCTGATCGAGCTTCAAATGCCATTTTAAATGCGCTAATAAATAGTGAATCTGTTTTGTCATTGAAAAACTACATAAGCCCTAATAGTCAACAGACTTCAAGATCATTTTCTGATGCTCTTTTATATGCTCAAAAATCACTTTTTTCACCACCAAAAAAAGCTTCTAATAGTCAAAACAATAGTCCTCCTATTTGCAATAATTTAGTAATTGTAATGGAATTTGTTATCAATTCTATGAACATTGGGAAATATTTAAGTTTAGTGCAAATGCAAAAAAATATAAAAATGCCTGTTTCTGTTATTGTCTCTCGACTACAATTTGTTTATACTTCAACCACAGATATTATAAAAACTCTTAAAGTAACAAATAAAAAAGAACTTGTTGGTGTTGATATTAGCTTCAATTGTCTTGGTTCTTCAACAGATAGAATGAAGAGTGTTTGTAATGAGCTAAAGGCTTTTAAAAATCTTGAAATGCTGAACTTAGCATATAACAACATAACTGAAGGCATAATTTTAACTGAGCTGTTGTCAAATCTTCAAAGTCTTCATTATATAGATTTTTCTGGTAATTTACTTAAGAGTGGAATTAACGATCTATTAGAGTTTGGAATACAAACTGAATACTTAAGAACACTTATTTTAACAGGATGCTCTATTACTATTGATTGCTTGCATGCATTAGTACACAGTAAAAAAATAACAAGTTTGTGTAAGCTTAAATTAGATCAAAATCCAATACTTTCAAGTTGTATATATTTATTGGCTGATTTACTGCAAAAATTCAAACACAGTCTTACATATTTGGACATCTCAGAGTGCCATATTTGTAAAGAAAGTGTTATTGAGTTGTGTCCTGCCATTTCATGCATGGCTCATTTAGAAGTCCTAATTTTGTGGCCAAACCCTGGAATTAATCAGACTTCAGTAACTCAAGATATATTACCTTTGTTGGATATGATTCCAAATATCAGAATACTCCCTTGTCAATCATGATTTTGATTTAATTTTTTATTTATTCTACCCCAGAACAGAACATTATATATATATATTTATATAAGTGTTTTAAAAACAACTTTTTTTTTAATGTTTGCTCTCACCCTCAAAATGTTTTCTCTATAATAAAATAATACTGGAATTGAAAAATTTTTGAAACAAATATTATGGGCCATTATAGACCAATCGACTGTATTTGAAAAAAAAAAAAAAACTGTAATTTGCTGAATACTTTCCTGGATAAATCCTAAATAAATCGTTTGATACTTTAATTGTTCTTGAACTTTTTTCTTTACCTTTAGGTATAAATTTACATATGGTGCTCAAGATTTTAATCTTGCAACTATTAAGAGTGCGTTAACATTTTTAAAATTTGCTTTGTCTGAGCTCTTTATATGTTCTTTATAATGTCACTAGATTTAAAAAATTTTTGCAAAAAAAATATTTTTAGAAGTGCCCCAAGACCCTTTAATATCTAAAGAGTCCTTAATAAATATGTAAAAAAAACTATATGTAAAAAAAGTAGGTCATTTTGATACTTGAAAAAAAGCAAAATTATATAAAAATTTGTAAACAATAATTGTTTTGTATAAAAAAATTTTAAATTGTTTTAATTAAAGGTTCTGATTTTAAATTTAAAAGCGGGCATTTTTAGAAGTTTTTAAAGTTATTTTTCTTCCTTAATATGTTTTTTATAAAACAAATATGCACCCTCATATAGATATTTATATAGAGAGAAAGAGGAAAAAGTAGGTTATGGCACAAAAGCAAAACATACGAACAAAAAATAATAAAGAAGTCACAGTATAAAACATGTTTTAGTGCTTTTTATGGGCTTCTAAAATTTTTGTAACAGCCTCTATGCTTCATGACATAAGGACAACATGACACGGAAAATATTTAAGGATTGTTTTATGAGACCATGCTATCATTATGGCTTTTCCCACATCTGCTAGAAAGGTTGGTTCTTGTTTAGAATCTTCTGCTTTCAATTTTTTGCAACAGTTTTTGACGAGGTTTAAATAAGGTGAAATGACTGACCACAATCCAAATACACTAACTGCAAGCCATCTTAAGAGGCCTGTGCATGCCTTATATGACCATGTGTACAATATTTCATTTATTTTTTGACAACTTTGCCACAGTTTTTTGCATATATAGGTAATTTGCGTGTTTTAAAAAATACTCTTAAAAGTAAAAGTTCTAAGGGTCACATATAGGAAAAATTGAGGATATATATATATATATATATATATATATATATATATATATATATATATATATATATATATATATATATATAAGGGCCCTGCGAATCAGCAGTTTTTGTTTCGAATGGAATCTCGAATCAAAGCGGTCTTGATTTGTAATTCAAATCACGTTTCGAACCAACATTTTGAGGTCTAAATTTAAGCATTTTTTATTTAATAATATATATTTCAAAATAAAATAAAATATAGCAATTGTATAAGTTCTTTATTGATGTTTCTTGCCCTGGTTAACCTTTTTAATGACTGAATAAAAAGGTATTTAAGGATAAGTAACATTTTAATAGCGCCAAAGTGCAGAATATCTAAAATACCCAAAATAACAAAATAAGTAAGGATTTGATTTTTGAATCGAATCTTGAATCATATTTTTGATTTAATTCGAAATTTCAAAGCTTGCAGGGTCCTTATATATATAGTCTTGCATATTAGTCGAAAAGTTTATTCGATAAATTGTAGTTTTAAAGAGAGCGCTAATAAACAAGACCTGAAAAAGTTTAAAAAACTCAAATATTTTTTTAATTTTTATTTAAACAATAGACTTCCTGACTTAACTAAACCCTCAGTCGATGAAGCAGCACTCCATTGCGCGTCAGGCTATAAGATAGTTGATGAGGCAGCACTCTATTGTGAGTCAGTTTATAAGATAGTCGTTGTAGCACTATTGCAATTCAGGCTATAGCATATCAATGTAGCGACACTCCCTTGGAGCAGCAGGCTATGGGATAGTCAAAATAGCAACACTCTGCGCATGTTTTAAAAAAATGTTTTTGAAAAACAAAAACACTATCAATTAAAAAACTTTCAAGTCATTGTTATTTCGGTTTTTTAAAAACAATAAAACTTAAAAATTTTAGGGTGTATCATGTTTGTTTTTTTTTTTTTTCTGGATTGAAAAGCCTGTATTCTAAAAACTTGTATTTCTGTATAATATTGCTAAAAGAGGCTTACATTGAAAATTAATAAAGTTTTTGGTCACGGTGGCCTCTGATTTTTACAATTAATTTTATAGCCTTCTTTGTTTCCTCTACATTCTTTGAGCAAAGCACTTTCTTTATGACAGACTTAGAAAAAGCATACCATGCGGAACCTCAATCTCTTGGCATAATAATTGCAACTACTTAACTTGATGGATGTTTTAGAAGGCTAAGCTGGTAATGAATGTGTCTCAGTTCTTCAGTAAACCTGACTTCGACTTTAATTTTATACCACATAAGCATGTAAAAAATTCAAACAAGCTCATTTGTTAATTTAATGTTTTTAAAATTTTTGCCTTCGAACATGTTTAGAGACCCAAAATCTTATAGCAATGTATTTGTCTCTGTCTGACCACTCTGTCATAACACTAGTAGAATCACCATTTATTTCCATTATTTTTCAAATAATTCATATATATTTTGAGCAATTACTTCAGCGTGTTTTATATGTTTTTGAACTTTTTCAGGTGTAAAGTGGAAAGATATATACCGTGAGGCTCTTGACACACTGTATGATGTATCTCTTTGATTGATGCAGGATAATTTTAGTCAAACCTTTAGCTATTAATTGTACTTTTGTATTATCAGTTCTACCAAAAAAACATAATCAATAATGCTCCTGCATTGAGTTTCAAACTCTAATTTAAAGGTGGCTGCACAATTTTTTCTTAAGCTCGCTTGACTTTGTTGTGATCGATAACTAATTTGGTATTGTCTTCTTTAATTATTCCTGCATCCATCCAAGCAGCCATCACAATTGCATCTGTTTCCCATAAGCCTGTACCATATTGTATGTTTGCCAGAACTATGTTGCAAGTCTTTTCATTATTCCTTTGCCCTTGTAAATGTTTCTGAACTTTATTTTGTCAACACATTAAGTTCAGTATTGCTGTTTGCTATGCAACATTTAATTCAAATTCAAACCTTTCTTTCTGACTTCTATTTGTTTGCTGCAGTTCTTCAGACACTTTTTTTTTTAATATAGTTAAGTTAATTGAATTTTCATTAAATGTTTTGTAAAATAGTAGTTTTAAATATATATACTTAATCTGTCATGTCTTAACATAAGTATAATACAAATAATTTTATGTCAAAAGTTTATCTTGAATTTAATTAGATTTTGTTAATTTAAATACAAAACAGACATTTTTAATGACAGATATTTGTAATATAACTAAAACTAATTTTACATAGGAGTTTAATTAACTTTTGTTAATTAATATCTTTGATTTTTAGTAATAATAATCAAAAACATAATAATAATTATGTTTTTGATTACTATTAATTACTAATAATCAAAAACATAATTAAAAAAATCTTACTTCTTCCTTCAATCATCTTTCTCCAATTTTATCTAGCTTTTTGTTTTCTTTTTGGTCTGCTAATCTGATTTCATGTGTACCGGTAGTCCCTATTTTAGCTATATATATATATATATATATATATATATATATATATATATATATATATATATATATATATATATATATATATATATATTTTAAATTGAGTTTTTTTTTTTTTTAGTTTCTGCTGTCAATGTGGTATTACCCCAAACCCTTCAAATATATACATTAATTGCATTTGTAATCAAGTTCATTTCTCTGCGGAAATCTAAAAACAAGCTATTCTTCCATTCTGTAAAAGTTGTGAAAGGTATAAGTTCATTTTTTTATTTATTATTTTTTGGATTCTTTTTGTTTCAAAATTGATGTCTTCAAAGTCTCATATGCTAAAAATTGATGTCTTCAAAGTCTCATATGCTTTTTGTTTTCTTTTTGGTCTGCTAATCTGATTTCATGTGTACCGGTTGTCCCTATTTTAGCTATATATATATATATATATATATATATATATATATATATATATATATATATATATACTATATATATATATATATATATATATATATATATATATATATATATATATATATATATATATATATATATATATATATATATATATATATATATATATATATATATATATATATATATATTTTAAATTGAGTTTTTTTTTTTTTTAGTTTCTGCTGTCAATGTGGTATTACCCCAAACCCTTCAAATATATACATTAATTGCATTTGTAATCAAGTTCATTTCTCTGCGGAAATCTAAAAACAAGCTATTCTTCCATTCTGTAAAAGTTGTGAAAGGTATAAGTTCATTTTTTTATTTATTATTTTTTGGATTCTTTTTGTTTCAAAATTGATGTCTTCAAAGTCTCATATGCTAAAACATTCAAAGACTGTGTTGCACTTGTTCTTATAAATGCTTTTATTATTAGTTTAGGCAAAGAATGCTACTATATTTGTTGAGGCTACTTTAATTTTAATTACAGTCCTCTCTCAACTCTATAACTACAATATACAAACCAAATTACTGCCCCCCCCTTCCTCTTCCCTAGTTGACCTGTGCTGTGACATTGATTTTTATTCATCATTTTTTTAATATACATGTATTAACAAGTGGACATAACCATGTTACTTTAGTTACGATAAGAAAACTATTTTACTTAAGAATTTAGTTTTGCTATTTGTAAATAATTATTTAAAACTTTTTAAAGTTTTTTAAACATCAACTATATTTTAGTAAATTTAATATTAGTAGTTATTAATGTTTTAAATAATTAGTAATTAAATGTTAAATATTTAAAACAATTTTAAATAATATTTACATTACATAATATATTATCATATATTAACAGAATAGTTTTATGAAACTTTTACAAAAAAAGAATATTATTTTATATAACAGAATAGTTTTACGTCTCGTATTTGAATTTATTCAAATAAAAATCATTTAACAAACGTATTATTATATTATTACGTGTATTAATTATATTAAACGTATTATTATATTATACAATTAAACGTATATTATTGTTTTATTTTGGAAATTTTGATTTAAGTATCAGCAAATCTGTTCACTTAACTTTTACTAAAGGTTTTTTAAAAAAAAATTTTCTTTTAATGCAAATCTAATTTTTTATTAATTAAGTATAATTGAAAAAAATTATGTTTAATAAATAATAAACGATATTTGTAAAATAAGGAAGATTCTTTGTTGTTTTGTGTTATTGTTTGTTGTTGTTATTGCTTACTTGGAAATTATTCTCACCTTTTTTTTCTTTTACTTTGTGTATATATATTGTATATATTATACGAAATGATACTTATTTTAATACTATTTTATCTTGTGATATGTTTTTGTTTTTTTTCTCACACTCTTTTATTTCAATATTGTGTATTAAGGCTTAATTCTTTTTTTGCTTTTTTTAAGTTGTGTTTTCGTTTGTTACGTGTTTTTATGTATCTGATGTTGAGATTTTAAAACGGTCATAATATTATTGCTTGTTTTTAATTTTCTTTTGCGATTTTCTTTTTTTTTTTCTTTTTCTCACGCTCTCTTTCATTTCAATATTGTTTATTCATTATTAAAACTTTATTCTTTTTTTGCTTTTTTTAAGTTGTGTTTTCGTTTGTTACGTATTTTTATGTATCTGATGTTGAAATTTTAAAACAGTCATAATATTATTGCTTGATTTTAATCGTTATTGTTATAACTGCTTTCGTTATTTTTATTATTATTATTATTATTATTATTATTATTTTCTGTTATATTACTGTTATTGTTATGTAACCTCTATCATTGTTTTTATATATTGTGTTATCACATATTATTATCACATATTATTTTAACTGTATTATTAAGATTATTAGGTCACTGCTCTGAAATTTGACCGCAAGGTTAAATTTCGTGCCAAATAAAAAGTTTCAGTTTATATAATCTCTACTAATATATATTAATTGGAAACAACTAAGTTTAAAATTAAGATCTCTTGCTAAGTAACAAAAAAAGTAAAACAAAAATCCCTTTAACTTGGAGGAGGGGGTTACTTTTTTCATGGTCAGAAGTTCTATACTCCAAAAGATTTTATGATGAAATTTGAAATCTAACAATGAGTTTTGACTTTATTTATGGTATCCTTAAAAAAATTATAAAATCTTATTCCCCTCAGCAATTTTGTATTGATTGGGTATTGCTGTTCCCGTGCTTTAATTAGCACCTTTTTATTCTCATTTGAGACTTGGATAAATATACAAAAACTTGGGATAAGTTAGATAAATAATAAACACTTAATCTTCACCTTGTACATTTCACAGCAAATAGACTACGACACATATCAACACAGATATTATTTGATTCTTCTTGAATTAAAATCAACAACAGTTTTTTTTTTAATTTTCTCAATGTTTACTTTGTTCTGTGCTGACTTTTTATCTTTTCCAGGTAGGTTTAAACTTAGCATGCACTGCCTCTCCAGCCTGTTCTGCAAAATTTCCAAGGCATATAATATGGTGTTTTAGAAAAGGATCAAAGTGATTTACAATAATATGTGTTTTCCATGTAGTTTTTAATGTCAATCACTCTATTTTTACATCATAGATTTCATTTTGTATAGATTTAAAAATCTCAGCAAAGTTGTTGATAATTGTTTCAAACTCTTCCAAAATCTTATACTGATATAAAAGCTTGCAAACTTAATTACAGATAATATCAAGTGTTATTTAATATTACTTTTATCACAGCTTGTTCAAGACAATCTTATTTTTTAAGTATTTCGTTTGAGTAGTTTCCATCCCATCCGATTCCATAGTATTCTTGAAAATAAATATGATATAAAGACAGCCAGATTTTAAATCCAGGATCATAGATAAATAATAACACTTTGCCTAAAACTGCAACTGCTTCCATCATCAAGTGCATTTCTGGTGGAGCAATCTTATGAATAATGAATGTTTCAGGATTCTCATCTAAATAAATCAATCTTTTATTAATTGCATTGGAATAATTTGACATTTTTTTGTTGGACATCCATTATTATTTTATTTATCAGACCAGTAATCAAGTTTTCCAATTGTTCTATGATCTCCAGAAGTCAATGAGCATAATCCTGTACAGTATAAACATGCATTTTTTCCAGAGTGTGAAGACAAATTCAATACAGCATTTGTACGTTTTAAGTCAAAAGCCATATAACTTAACTTTTGATATGACTAATCCAAATTTCAGGAACATCCTTAACTATAGCTAAGATCTGTGTACGTTGAACTCCTCTGTCTTGAAACTTTGAAGAAGATGAATGCTGATTATCAGATTTAAATACGTTACATGCAGCCTTCAAAAAACCTCCTCCTGCATCTATAGCTATATTGATAAATACCTTAAAGGTTTAGGTTTCTTTCATTTATAATATTCGTTACAAAATTGCATGTATTTTTAACATAAACCAAGTTGCAATTAATTTTTGACCCTTGATTTCCTCTAAACTCAACTAATTCTGCAAAATAAAATGATTCAACTAGTGACTGAAGTTTGTTTAGTTTTTCAAATACATTTTTTTATATGCAATTCGCTCCAAATGAACTTTTTAGACTAGAGACTGGAACTTGAGTACTTGCTTTTAAAAGTTCTAAAGCGGTCTGTAAAGTTGGCAGCATCTGAAAATACATCATATTTGAAGATTTAGTTCTTTCGGATTTTAAATCTGAAACTCCTACAGTAATTTGAATAGGATTACCACCTGTTGATAGATTAAATGTTGCTCCTTGTTTTAAATTTTCGGTTTCCATTTTATTCTTAGTAATAATTGATGTTACTTGTAATGCACCAATACCAAAGGCTAAATCAGTGCCTGACTTTTGCAACAATTATAAGCTCTTCCAGCACATAAAAAAAACTAAAACATTAAAAAACTTACATGAAAAAAAAAAATAATAATAATAATCAAGTGATTGGAAAGTTACTTTTTTTTTTAAATTTTCAAAATTTTGTATTTACTTATACTACTAATTGCATTATATATATATATATATATATATATATATATATATATATATATATATATATATATATATATATATATACAGTACTGGGCAAAAGTCTGAGACCAAGGGTTGAAAAAGACTAAAAACTGATTTTAACCATAAAATTTTATTCAATGAACAACCATGTCAATTTTTTCCAATATTATTCATATTAGTAATTCAACATAATTCAGAACACAACAATTTATTGTCAGCATCACTGATGATGTGAGGAAAACTGATGAGTAATACAATTGTCACATATGTAGTATGTTGCACGCATAACTTCTTTGAACTTTATATGAACCATGCACTATATTATTCGGTTTTGCGTTGATATTTGCGTTAGTTTATTACTGCGTGATGGCAAATTATAGATTACGTAATAGTTTATAGCAGATAATAAACATGAAAGTGTCCTAGGATTGACGCATTTTAGCGCTGTTGTGGTATTATGTTGTTATATACATGCATTACATACATACATACTGTATTGCCTATTTATATAGTTATTGTTTAATGAATCTGGCATTTGCTGTTTGTGCTTCAAATTCTCATTTTTGATTTTAGCATTAATTTTCTTTCACTGAAATGTGAGTTACAAATATCAGTTCGAGCACAGATCAGTATTTTAAAAGAGGAGGGATACACCGAGAGAAGCATTGCTGAACGTTTGTCTGTTTCTAAAACTGCAGTTCATAACACAATAACTCGATTGCAGCAGACTGGCAGCTTAACTTCCCGAAAAAGATCTGGTAGACCAAAATGTACCTCTATGCAGACTGACCGCTTGATTCATCGCACTTGTACTAATACTCTAATGTCATCATCCACAGTAATACAACACAACTTGCCATCCTCTAAAATATCTGAAAATTTTAAAAAGCAATTTGCTTTAGTGGCTGCCTCTTTCTGGTTGTACAATCTTCCAGCATGATGGTGCACCATGTCACCGGACAAAGGTGATTACTAAATGGCTTACTGAGAAAAATATTCAGGTACTTTCTTCTTGGCCGGGATCCTCGCCTGACTTAAATCCAATAGAGAGTTGCTGGCATCTGTTAAAGAAAAAGGTAGCCGCTTTAAAGCCATCATCATATGATGATTTGAAAAAAAAGATAATGTTGGTTTGGTCCAATGAAATCACTCCTGCTTATTGTGAAAATTTTATCAATTCTATGCCCAGGAGAATTACTGCTGTGCTAGCGGCTAAAGGAATGCCCATAAAATACTGACATGACATGGACATTTTGTGTTTTATTTCACAAAGTATGTTGTACTTATTC